AGTTTACTGTCCAAGACATGGACATTGCATTAAAGTATGATCTATAAAGAAGCCTTTCCCCAAATTAAAATCTTAGACATTATTTCCTCTGGGTATGTTTTATCTTGAGGTTGTATCTGCTTGCTAGGCCACAAAGAAATGTCTGCATCTGGTCCACCTTAGCGGACTGTTTCAGGAGAGGATATGGCTCCACAAAGGGGGAACAGAACCGTCTCCAAGTTCCATCACTGTAGTTAGAGTCAATTATACTGTAATTAGGGAAAGAAAAGGTTTGAGGATTTGTGTGTGTGTGTGTGTGTGTGTGTGTGTGTGTGCGTGTAGCAGAGGACTCAAAATCAGCCCTGCAAGACACAAGAAGTCCTTAGTACTGGGGAGCATGATAAATGAACCACGTAAGACCCTACTCTAAGGGTCAGCTCCCATCCAGACCAACCCAGGCCTTGACCACTCAAGGAGGCCTTCCTCAACCACCCCAGGTCTTAACCACTCAAGGAGGCCCACCTCAATCCCTCCAGGCCTAGATCACACAAGGAGGCCTACCTCAGGCAAAATTTCCAGGTACCAGGTAGCTGCCAAAACCTGGTGCCACCCCAACTCCTCACATGGTGAGTCCTAGCAAGAGGATCTTTCTGTCAGCTTCCAAGAGGCCTCGCTATGGACAAACCCCACATTCAGGCAGATGGAGGCTGGGGAACCCTCTTATCAACCCTGATATCCAGGAGATGCTGGAAGTTCAGGTTAGGAATAGGGTTCGACTTAAAGTTTGGAATTAGAAATAAAAAGAAAGGTCTGACTGTGCCTTTAGCTGTATGGACCGTATCCTACAGCAGTGGAGCCGGAAGCAGGCCAGCACCACCTCACGCTCCGTTTGGAGCAGAAACTGCAAATGAGAGCAGTTTTCAAGTTCTTGGAAGTTCTTTTACCAGAAGGTTTTACCAGACAATTTACAGCAGAAATCGAGCCTGTTATTCTGGGGCCTCTCTTTCTCCACAATGAGTCCCCTGTGGTTACTGTCCACATGGCAGGGTCCCCACTAGATCACCTCTCCATCTAATTCAACAGACGATCTATGACACCCCTAACCAAGTGTAGACTATCATAGCTCCGCAGCTCTTTCTAAGAATTCCTTGATTCATCAATTGTCAAATCCAAACAATTGACTCAGAATCAGTTCTGGTTCAGATCACCAGCAGTGGCTGGAATCCAAACCCAGGCCCGTGATCCATCCTCTCTCCTAAAACTTCAGCACCACTCAGTTCCAATTAGGGAAAGTTCTTTCAGGAGTGGGTCCTGTTGTTATGCTGGCTGCAGATATCCTGGCTTCTATGGGTCTCAGTCCGGCTTTAAGACTGTGCCTGCTCCAACCTAGTCACCCTGCCAGGACAGGCATCCCTTTCTGTCAAGAAAAGGCAAAGTCCCCTAGATATCAAAACCCCAGGAAGCATGGCATAGCCATATCATTGGTCCAAATAATGAAAAAACTGAATGTAGAAGTCACAGGTAGGACATACAGCTTATAGGGACGTGGCCTGTAGAAGTCTCCAAGTCAAATAACCATGAAAAGAAGTTGGGACAGAATAAAAGGCTTCTTTTGTCACCATGATTTTCTCCTGATTTGCTCTAACCTGACCTTTGTGTAGCGGTGTACAGCGGCACCAGAGCGCCAGCCCGGTGTTCACCCAAGTAGGCAGAGTCATCAGAACAGTCGTGTGTTATCCGTGAGTTCAAAGCAGGAGAATAGTCACATCTGAGTATCCTGCCATGGCACAAAGTACCCAGGGACTTTAGAGACCACCTACTCAACTCATTGGAGACTGGCAACCAACTGAGTTCTCCAGTCCCTGCCAGCTCAGCCTGGATGACAAAGCAGTGTCACCCTGTCCTATCTCTGCCTACAATGCCAGAATGGTGGCCAGGCAGAGACCCCTGGTCATTTGCCATACCTTTTGATCCACTGTATATACAGTGCTCATTTGACCATGGGCATGACAATCCAAAGGAGGAGGTAGAAAATACACAATTTAGAGTCAAGGCAGGTGGCCATGTAATGTGAGGATGCCCTAAAATTTTCATGCATGTGAATCTCCTGCCCCTCCAGTACAGACTGTTGACATGGGGGTCAGAGCCACACACCTAACCTCAGCCCAGTCTTTTTACCATGGACTGGAGGAGCCCTTTATCTTGAAGGGACTTTCCATTGGCACAGTCCTGAGGACAATGTCAGCGGCTGAGCAGTGAGAGGAGCTCAGGCCTGAGTCTTCTGAATCCTGGGAAATAATTATAGAACTGGATAGACGTTTCTTTTCTCTGGCGATTCATTGATTTGAGAGTTACCCGTCTCCAGAGCTTCCATGGGGAATGCCCACCCACAGGACTCTTTCTTCTCTGCCTGTTCCAGCTCCCTGCTGTCCCTGCTACTTGGCAGGTTGAATTCCATACTGATCTCCCTTTGCACATTTTTTTTAAAAAAAAAAACCCTCATTCCTGTGACTCATAGACATTATTTTCTGGGCCTGAATTCCTCCGGGTTGCCTGTTCAAGATTCCAGAACCGTATCACTGTGTTAGGCTCCACCCACGAGGCTCTATGGGGTGGACTCAAAAGTCATATTGTTCTCCTGGATAGTTGTGTTTATTTAATTTAAATTGGGTAAAGTGCTTGCTTTTCCAGATAGTACATTTCTGCAGAGGCAGTGCCCTGGAGAGTGCATAGGGATCTCTGTGATACATGGTGCCTGTACCCTGTGATGATACAGGACAGCTCAGAACACAGGTTCTCTGCACATAGGATGATCATGGGGCATCCAGTTGTCTGTGGAAAGTTGGCTGTGTACCATAGGGTTGGCTTGGCTAACACAGTGTTTCCGTGATTCTTCTTAGATTGTACCCTAGTAATCCTGTGGTGGTACACATGCCGACTTGCTGGATGGAGCTTTGGGTGTTTCTTTGTGTAAGTTTGCTTTCACACCTATGGTGGAACCCCAGTTTCTCCTCTGGAATGAATCCAACAGAGGTCATGAGGCCCTTTCTTTCAGCCACTTGTCGGGGCCATGAATAAGCTGCTCAGGACCGACTCTCAGCTTTGTGTCCTGGCTGATAAGCCCTTGACTTTTTGCAAATAGAGGGTAGCTTCCCAACAGCACATCCAGCAATCTGCATGTTCTTCCCTTCTGAGATCTAGAGATGAGCTGGCGGAAAGGCCAGAAGTTAGGAATTCTGAATGTCCCACACAGCCTGGTGGCCTTCACATGCACGTTGTGCTAGCATTACTCTCAAGGGAAAAGAGAGGACCTGGAAATGGTTGAGAGGATACTCTGCTCACACAGCAAGGCCTTCTAGGCCTCCAGCCCTTGCCTTCCCATGAGACCAGCAGAACAGGCCATCTCATAGTGCTGGTTCACACAGCAGAAGGGACTTGTCTAAAATGCGGCGCTACACCAGCAAAAAAGGGTCCCTTTCTGAGCATTGCTCAGCTACCTTTCCATTTTTCTTTGCCCCAGTCTCTGTATCTTAGGAAACACATGGGCATAACTGCATGCAACTGCATACAAGAGCAGCCTATTCCCAGGGTGGCCTGCACTGTTCCTCACAGAAGGCAACAGGAAACAGCTCCAGCAGCGTCACTTATTCCCTGGTAGAAAATGTGCTTCTAGAAGGTGTCATCAAGGGCATGGACATGGGGTCTGCTCCAGCACACTTCAGCAGAAACCCTCTCAGCCCTCCACAGACATGCACACAGAAACCCAAGGCAGACCTCTACTAAGACCCACACAGAGAGATGTCACCACAGAGTTTTTTAATTTCACAGAAATACCCCCACAAAAATCAATAATGAAGCCATGACAATGACCGCCAAAGAGACTTCTGATGATTGGTACATCTTATAACATGCAAAAAAGAACAAACTTCAGAGTCCACACAGAGTTTTCAAAGATACTTTTGATAGAGACAGTAAGGGAGACCTCAGAAACTCTCCAGAGACCTAAGTAGAGATGTCACTTGGTGGCTTCAGGGTGGCACACAGCACTCCCTCACAGTGACACCCCTCTGCCTTCCAGACCTTCACACAGCACCTTCAGAAGGACAATCATACAGACTTTCTCCATACCCAGAGACCTCTCGTGACACATGGAGGTGATGCAGACTTCCAGAGACCTCACATCGTCCCTTGGGGTTCCACACAGAACATCTGTACATTTCACAGTGTTTTCATGGGAAGGCCTGGCACACAGTCATACACCGTCACCTGCTGAGATCGCAGGGGCTTATCAACAGGACCTCATGCAGCCCCATAGGAAAGGTTGCTGTAGGAAGTAGTACAACTTGTAATTACCCGCCTACTGGGCGTGGCCTTCTATACTATTTCCGTGGTAGCCAAGTCAGGTGTCAGTCCCTTTGTTCTCCTCCCCCTGCTCTTCTTCTGCCAGCTGCTCCTTTGGATCACATTATTCTACCAGTTAAGCGGAGTATTCGGATTTGTGAGTTTACCCCTTAATAAATGACTAGTTCTCAAATTTGAGCTAGTGTGGGATTTCTTTTGAGCATCTGACCACTGTAACAAAAGTTCTCAAATGTGGACTCAGATTCTAACCATATTTTGATGGTACTGAAAATAAAATAGTGCTTCCCACATGTTTTGTCAAGCAGTCTATGCAGAATTATATTTTGTAATGATCCTGATCATTTTTAAATCACAAATGAGGAAGAAGACAGGAAGGGACTCTAAGATCAAACAAGTTAACTGCTAACTGTCCTAATAAATGAGCTGTGCAAATGGTGCTTCTCTGAGGATAACACTGACCTATGGGTTGTTCCACTTCTTTCCTTCTTCTGTCAGAGACAACGCAACAAGAAGTTATTACCTCAAGGGTCTGGGAACTATATGTATATCAGCCAACACAGACTCACAGTGTGTTGCAGTTGTTAATGTATCATATTAGAAATTCATGACACATAGCTAAGACAAATAAGCCTTCACACAGGAAGAGTTTCATGACTCACAGTTGCTGGGATTGTAGTCCATGGTTCCCTGGCCCCATAGTTTTGGACCTGCAGTAGAGGATATGCAGTGTTGCACATCATGGACCAGCACTGTTTAATTCAAAGCTTCCTGAAAACAGAGAAAAATGGAAACATTGAAGAAGGACACCAAACAATCTAACTTTGACATTGCTGGTGACCTAAGACTTAAGTATAAAAGACATTGGCACCTCAGGAGTTTTCTCTCAGTTTTCAATAATGTCCCTAACTTATGACACCATTAGTGGATTAGTCTCGTGATCTGTCAGAGCTGTCACCATTCAATCCCCTCTCTGTGATCAGATCCACCCGCTCAGAACCAAGCTTTCAATACAAGACCTTTTCAGAAACACTTCATATCCAACATGTAGTATATGTTAACGACTAAAAACAGCTTCCCGAGCTTTCAGGTCTGCAATACACACACAACATTTACTATACAGTCCTAAGTGTCTGTGTTCAACCCCAGAACATCCAAATAAAGCTACATACAGCTGCACTCACCTATGATGTCATGGCTCCAAAGGTCAAATAGGAGACAGGCAGAGGAAAGGCCTATGATCTCACTGGTTAGCTAGCACAGAATAAACAGAAATGAGCAAGGGACCCTGCTTCAAAATGAAGGGTGGCAACTGGAACTGGATCTCCTCTGACCTCCACATGTGTACCATGGCAGGTTTGTGCCCACATTCACACTCTAACCATCATACACACATGTATACCACACGTACACAGAGATAAACTTAAGACAATTAGCTAGGGTTCCAATGGTACACACTTTTAAATCGAGCACTTGAGAGGCAGAGGAAAGTGGTTCTCTGAGTTTGAGGCCAGTCTGCTCTACAGAATGAGTTCCATGAAAGCTAGGGCTGCACAGGAAAATCTTGTCTCAAAACTGGGGGTGGGGTGATACCTACAGGGATGGGTCAGTGTTAAGAGCACTTGCTGCCCTCTCACAGATCCAGGGTCTGTCCCCAGCATCCACATGGTAGGGATCATAACCATCAGTCCATGTTCAGGGCATCTGGCATCTTTTTGTCCTCTGTGAGTATATGTATTCAGCACATTTACATTCATGCAACCGAAACTCATTCACGGAAAATAAATTAAGTAATTCTTTAAGAAGAAAATAAGAAGCCATTGCTCTCCTTTTATATTGGGCATGCCTAGTCTATCTCTCAGCTATGTTTCCCAGTCCTCCTTCAATTTCTCTTGAATATTTGCTTTGAAGGGTTGTTATGGTGCATGGTGCTTATGATGGATAATTGGATAATTTTTACTCTTCCTTCTGTGGTTGGGTCCAAACCACCGAAAAGAAGGATCAAAACAAAATTTCTGGCTTGTTACAGTGTGTGTCGAAGGAAAAAGTTATGTAATTGGTTACCTGGATGCCCTGAGAGCTCTGGATTAGTTGCCAGAGTTTAGAACTTTTATTTTTATATTCCAAGTGTCGCTGTTATCTCTTTCAGATATTTGTGTGTCTCCTGCATTGCACTCAGATGCGGGGCCCATCAGCTCCCTGTTGATTTACATTAAACACTCAGCTCTCACATGGCACCTGTCTTTAAGTCATTTCATAATGTCAGCTAATCGCACACCCTCAGGAACTGTTCAGCATTGTCATGTGTATCACATGTATAACAAGACCAATATGCAACGTGGTTAAAAGCCTCAGTAAAGTCTTCACAGCGGTTGGTATCTAAGACCAAACTCAAAATCCCTCCCAGTTTCATTTCTTAGCCCAATATTTGAAAACTAGAGGCTGCTTCATGCTCAAAAAAATAAAGCATCACGTGGATTTTCTTTAGCACAGAGGGTTTGGACATGAACAATGAAGCATCTTATTGAAACCTTAGCATCTTTGTTGCTACCGGGGGATAAACAGACTAACTAATCAAACAGTTCATTTGGAAGGCAATTTTCACATCTGACAGCTCAGTACTCCAAGGCAAGCAACCATGTTGTTATCCTACAGCCCCATCACCATTGTCACAAGTACTGCTTTTATTGATTTTCAGGAGCGATTGTTGTTCACATACATGACTTGAAGGCCTGTACCTGGATATAAGTATAACATTCTTTGTAACAAGAGGGCTGGACTTGTTCAGGTTTCTGTCCTGCCCATTTCCCACATCTGGCAATCACAAAGAAAATCACACAGAGGTCTCCGTAAGATTATTAACTGATTGGCCCATTAGCTCAGGCTTCATATTCACTCTTATAACATATAGTAACCCATTATTCTTATCTATGTTAGCCACAAGGCTCAGTATCATTTTGGGTGGAGGGGTTGCATCCTGCTTCTTTGGTGGTCTTCATGGACAGGGGAGACAGCTTCCTTCTTCCCAGAATACTCCTATTCTCATTTCCCCACCTCTACTTCCTGTCTGGTTGTTCCACCTGGCTACTGGCCAAACAGTGTTTGTTTGAAACATAATTGACAGAATACAGAATTCTTTATATGGTGTAGGAGGTTCTTCCATCTATGTGTTGCTTTCATTGGTTGAATAAAGAAACTGCCTTGGCCTGCCCTTTTGTCTGCGAGGTCCTTGACCCAGGAAGAGTTTCTGCTCCTCCACTGAGGAGATCCATCCGGAGGGGTAGGTGTGTGCCTGCCCGGCTGGACAGTCTGGAAACAAAGTACAGGGTCCCTCCAGCTCCTGCTGCAGGGGCTTCTTCGTTCCTCATGACCCTGCACCCACCCGCAAGTCCACCCATTTGTCTGCGAGGTCTGAGGAGATCCATCCGGACGGGTAGGTGTGTGCCTGCCTGGCCGGACAGTCTGGGAACAGAGTACAGGGCCCCTCCAGCTCCTGCTGCAGGGGCTTCTTTGTTCCACATGACCCTGCCTCTTCCAAGCCTGCTCTATTGTCTGCGAAGTCCTTGGCCTAGGAAGAGTTCCTTGTCTTGCACTGAGGAGATCTATCCAGAGGGCATTCCTTTCCATCTGCAGGGTCCTTAGGTTCACAAGCACAGCCAGCTCCACTGCCGAGAGGTACTAAGAGAGGACATCCAAGAAAATTCCCCAAGTGCACAGTTAGTCACAGCAAAAAAAATGGACCAAGATGTCAAGACTCTCCTGGCTTCATTTGAAGGAAGAGATGGGCAGGTGCCAATGCAAATATTCCTCCAACAACCTGAAAAGCAACACAACAACACCAGAATCCAGTGAACACGCAGCAAGAACACTTGAACACCCTATTCCAGAAGAAGAAGTAGAAGAAATTGACTTTAAATGTAACATTATGAAAATAATATAGGCCCCTAAACAGGATGTGAAAAAAATGCTTTAAAGAAATGGATAAAAAGACAAACAAAAAGTTAGAAGAAATGAATAAATCAAAGATACCCAGGAAAACCAAGAGAAAGCATTCAAACAGGTCATGGAAACAGTTCAAGACTTAAAAACTGAAATGGAGGTAATGAAGAAAATACAGACTGAGGGATGGCTGGATATGGAAAATCTGGGTAAATGAACAGGAACTACAGAGACAAGTATAACCAACAGAATAAAAGAGATAGAAGAAAGAATCTCAGATGCTGAAGATGCTATAGAAGAAATAAACTCATTGATTAAAGAAAACAGCAAATCCAACAAATTCTTAACACAAAACATCCAGGAAATCTGGGACACCACAAAAAGATCAAACCTAAAAATAATAGGGGCAGAGATAGAGAAGAATTACAGCTCAAAGGCCTAAAAAATATATTCCACAAAATTATAGAAGAAAACTTTACCAACCAAAAGAAGGATATTCCTATGAAGGTACAAGAAGCATACAGAACACCAAATAGACTGACTCAAAAAAGAACATCCCCTCACCATATAATAATCAAAACACAAAACATACAGAATAAAGAAAGAATATTAAGAGCTGCAAAAGAAAAATGTCAAGTAACATGTAAAGGTAAACCTATCACAATTACACCTGACCTCTCAATCTAAATTATGAAAGCCAGAAGGTCTTGAATAGATGAGTTGCAGACACTGAGAGACCATGGATGCAAACCCAGACTATTATACCCCCTCAAAGCTTGCATTCACCATTGATGGAGAAAACAAGATATTCCAGGACAAAAACAGATTTAAACAATACGTAGCCACAAACCCAGCCTTACAGTACTAGAAGGAAAACCACAACCCAAGGAGGCCAACAACACCCATAATAACACAGACATCTGACAACCCTCCACCAGCACAACTCAAAGAAGGAAAACACATAAACACTACCAACAAAAAAAATAATATCAGGAGTTAACAACCACTGGTCATTAGTACGACTTAATATCAATGAACACAATTTAACTATAAAAAGGCACAGGTTAAAAGAATGGATACGAAAACAGGATCCAACATTCTGCTGTTTACAAGAAACACATCTCAACCTCAGAATTAAGGGTTGGGAAAAGGTTTTCCAATCAAATGGATCTAAGAAACAAGCGGGTGTAGCTATACTAATATCTAACAAAATTGACTTCAAACTAAAATCAAACAGAAGAGATGGAGAAGGACACTTTATACTCTTAACAGGAACAATTCATCAGGATGAAGTCTCAATCCTGAATATCTATGCCCCTAATATAAAAGCACCCACATAAGTAAAAGAAATATTACTAGAACTCAAAGCACACATCAAACCCCACACTCTAATAGTAGGAGATTTCAACACTCCTCTGTCACCAATGGACGGATCAACCAGAGAGAAACTTAACAGAGTATTAAGAGAAGTAACAGATGTAATGAATCAAAAGGACTCAACAGACATCTATAGAACATTCCACCCAAACATGAAAGAATATACCTTCTTCTCAGCATCTCACGGAACCTTCTAGAAAATTGATCACATAATTGGTAACAAAGCAAACATCCACAGATACAAAAAAATTGTAGTAACCGCCTGTGTACTATCAGATCACCATGGAATAAAGTTAGAATTCAACAATATTTCTATCCCCAGAAAGCCTACAAACTCATGGAAACTTCAGAGTCAACTACTGAACCACCTCTGGGTCAAGGAATAAATAAGGAAATTAAAGTCTTCCTTGAAATCAATGAAAATAAAGACACAACATACCCAAACCTATGGGACA